CGTTCGACCCTAATACAAATTTTTCTGTGGAAATGCCGCTCGTGTCGGAAAGATTTAGTATTGAAATTTAGATAAACTGAGATTTTGAATATCAGGCAAAATATATAATAGATGTAAAAATAATTATAATAAAGATAAGAGGCACGACTAACAAAAATTTGACGTCTTGGAGTATTGACGAGAGGTATACGTCTTGAAGTATAAACGGAATGTATTGAAAAGTCTTTTCGCAGCGTGCCCTTTAATTAAAAATTGTTGGGTAAAGTTTACGTTGTTCTTATTATTATTGTAAATATTTTTTTCATTTTTATTTTGAAATTGGAAGTGTTTTTCTTTTATGTCACTAATATTAAATGAAATCATTCTCACTGAATAGCGTGTTGTATAACAAATTTCGTACACAATTATTCCTGTTTAAGTAACATTTATGTTGATCACAGCAACTTGGTTACTTACAACAAATGTAAATACTAAACATTACTAAACAGTTTAAAATTCAATAATTCAGCGTGTTGCTATATTTCAAATATTCGGTATATGCCGTAGAATCAACAACCAAAACTAAATGGATTTTTTTTTCTCCATGAATCTAATTTATTAAATGGAAAAATAAGAACCATCACAATATAGTGAGGCATTTCATTGTAAAAACAGAAAATAAAATATTGTATCCAACAACCGACTTTGATGGTGTAGTGGATATCATGCCGGGGTACTTATTCCAAGTTCGAGGGTTCAAACCCTGGTCTGGAGGAGGGAGGATTTGTGAAGTGCCAAAAATCGACTGTATGCATGCGGATGCTTGTTGCCATGTAAAACAGAACCCAGGAAAGGCACTTGGCCGATCCTGGCAAAATTAAATCCTCTAGCAATTTATCACCAATCAGAGGTTCAATCTGATTTACTGGGTAAGATTACGGCTATTGTACCATGGCCCTACCCTAGGAACACTTGCTCAGGATAAATCTCGCCAGAAGACGCTAGGGACTTCTGGAGACTAGCCTACTCTCTAATCAGTGTGAAGGAGAAGGAATTTCTCCATCGTAGAAAAATTCTATCGGATTTTATTCTCTTGTTTAACCATCACCATTATACTTTTTGTAAACCAAAGTACGCTGATGATGGATGGCAGTTTTTAAGAAGTTTGTAAGAAGCCATCGCCACAAAATCCTGTAAGAGTACTACTAGATAAAGAATTTATACTCACTCGCGACTATTTCTCTCGTGGAATTCAATACAATAGTGTTTAACTACACTACATATATAATGTCCCAATCAGGGCGATGCATCTCCTGAAAATTATAGTTTTTTCTATCCGATTTTTCTTACCGCTTCTCCTACTGGCCAATAATCAGCTCGACTCTTCTATTTTTAACAAGGTTGTATGTAGCCATCGCTGTATAAACAGCGGTTAAACTATGAACATAACCTCTTTGATTTTAACACGCTTTCCGTTATTTTCAATTGTTGGTGCATTTTGGAAGTCTGTTGGACATCATTTCATACATGGAATACTCTTATTAAATAACACTCGTGCTTTGGAAATTCTAAGATAAATCCCCTCATCGTTTCGCGAGTCGGAGATTTATCGACAATTTCCAAAGCACTCGAGGTATTATTACCTATGAAAATACTGTTCGCATTATGATGTAAAAACCTCGCAGATGAAATGGCGTCTGAAACAGATTACTGCAAAACATATTAAATTCTCTTATAACTCGGCAATGATGCTTCATTGTTCCTTATAACTAGGTTTTCGTGTCCCGAAGAGGCCTAAGTTTTGAGAGTGCGGGTGTTTTGGGTTAGAGGAGGTAGACATGTGCGGGGGACAAATGTGATATGCGCGGAAAAAACGGGACAGATGGTGGAATAGCGGGTGACTATTGGGATTACTGTGAAATTTAATCTGAACGCTTACCATAATTAGAAATATCACTCATGCACTACCCAAGCATCCGTGACGTGCGTTAGAACCATCCCCCTAAGCAAATACGTAATGCATGCACACTCATCCTCCATTTACAAGAAGTAAAAATAAATTGTATCTCAGTAAAAACAGTTTGTATTCGTTTATTTAGGTTATACGTAAAAATGTACGATATTCAACGTTAGAATTAGTTGCTGTTGACTGCTCCTAACAATTAGATTGGGACCAATGTTTTGAGTGAAGTAAGGACGCATTAGACGAGAAAAATTTCTGACAAGTCGTGCACAATCGTCGTGGCTGACGGATGAGCGAGAGTCTGCTCCAATTTAATTGAATTGCAAGAATATTCTGTATTGAATATCTTCCTCGTCATCTTAACGATTTAATAACTAGTGGTGCTAAAACAGCACCTCTAGCCATTAGTAATGGTTATGTAGAATTTTTTATACCACAATTTCTCTCCGAATTAACGCATTTCAGTCTTTTTTTTAACTCATTTGAAATCGTAGAACATTTCGTGTGAAAATTAAATAGTTTCAGCAATAGATTATTTTTATTCAAAACTTCAAATGAAAAAATATATATTTCTGGCATTGAGTTCATATGCAGTGTATTCACGAACATGTAGTAATAACTATGGGGCATATTTTGATGACCAAAAACTATCAATAAAAAGCTCTTAAAAAATGCTTTAAAAATGCTCTAAAACAAAGAAAAATAACGTACATTTTTTTATCAAAATCACTCCAAATGAACATCTCTTAAGCTGTTTGGTATGTTACTGGCGAGGCTTTTTCTTTTTGTTCAAATGAACTCGGGTTGCAAATTTTGGTTTTGACTGTTCTTTAGAAGAAAATCTCTGCCTTTATTTATAGCGAAGTCGGCCAAACACACAATGGCGCCAATAGGCGTCACAGAAACCTTAGATTACATAGTACTCACAACGGCAGACATTAGAGTATATGAGCGCAGAAATCTAATATACTCAGGAATTGTGTGGTGAACATTTGTTGCACTTTGTAAATATTGTTTGAAGCAAGTACCATTAAAATGATAATAAAATTTATGAAAGCCGCGAAAAATGCATTAAAAATAATGTAAAAATACAAAAAAATGACTTATTAATACTCGAAAATGATTTATTAGAATCAACAAAAAATGCTAATAAATGACATATTAAAATGGGCCATTTCGTCTTGTCATAACATAAAATTAATTTCTGTACAAAACAGCATTGTTCTAAAATGAAAAGAAATAAAATGACACATTATTAACCCCCCCACTAATAATAACATCTAAGAGTAATTATTAAACACTATGGTATTGTAATATCCTGCAAATATATAAAAGTGTTAGTTTATATTATATCCAACGAAACGCAGCCGTCATTATCGCCTTCTGTTATCAGTGCGGCGTTACAACAATAGGTTACAATAACCAACAATGATCGCTCAGCTATTCGTTTTCTTATTTAACATAATTAAAGGACGCAATTTAAAATGAAATTACATGAATATAATAA